GGGGAAGCAATTCTCACTACAAACTATATCCTCAACAAAATACCGCACAAAATAACTGGCAAAACGCCATATGAACTATGGACAGGTAGAGTACCTTCGTACAAATACCTGAAAGTGTGGGGGTACTTAGCAAAGGTCGCTGTGCCACCTCCTAAAAAGGTCACCATAGGACCAAAAACTGTTGATTGTATTTTCATTGGATATGCACGCAACAGTAGTGTTTATCGGTTTCTGGTTCACAAATCAGATGTACCGGATATTCAGGTGAATACAATAATGGAATCACGAAATGTTTCATTTTTTGAACACATTTTCCCGTGCAAGGATAGAAAAAATCTAAAACGTCCTCGGGAAGAAGAGGCAACCACATCTGGGGTTCCTGGTTCAGAAGACGAAGAGATTGAACCTAGACGCAGCAAAAGAGCTCGTAAAGAAAAATCCTTCGGTCCTGAATTCTTGATGGTCTTTCTCACCGAGAACGAACCAAGAACATTTACTGAAGCTATGTCCACTCCTGATGCACCTCTTTGGAAGGAAGCAGTCAATAGTGAGATGGATTCCATTAGACAGAATCATACTTATGAAATCACTGAGTTACCTGAAGGTTTAAAGCTCTAGGGTGCAAATGGATCTTCAAAGCGAAATTGAAGACCGATGGCTCAGTTGATAAATATAAGGCTAGACTTGTAGTGCAAGGATTCCGACAAAAAGAAGGTCTGGATTTCTTTGACACTTATTCTCCAGTAACGAGAATAACTTCCATCAGAATGCTGATTGGAATTGCAGCCTTAAGAAATTTGGAAATCCACCAGATGGACGTCAAAACAGCCTTTCTAAACGGTGAATTAGACGAGGAAATCTATATGAAACAACCCGAAGGATTTGTAGTCCCGGGACAAGAACACAAAGTCTGTAGACTTGTGAAGTCGTTGTATGGACTTAAACAAGCACCAAAACAATGACATGAAAAGTTTGACAATGCGATGATGTCAGATGGCTTCAGCATAAACGAATGTGATAAATGCATTTACATAAAAACGACCCCTAATGGATATATCCTACTATGTTTATATGTAGATGACATGTTAATTATTGGCAGCAATAATGACATAATCCAACAAACTAAGAATATGCTTAGTGCACAGTTTGACATGAAAGACATGGGTCTAGCAGATGTCATTCTTGGGGTACAAATCACAAGAACTTCTGATGGGATTACCTTGTCTCAAGTACATTATGCTGAAAAGATACTTGAACGGTTTAAAACCTATTCAAATGGAACTGCAAAAACTCCTGTTGACTCTCAACTTCACTTGACCAAAAACTCAGGTGAAGCAGTGTCACAAGTCGAGTATGCAAGAATAATTGGTAGCCTTATGTACTTAACCAATTGTACTAGACCTGATCTAGCACACGCGGTAAACGTACTAAGTCGCTATACAAGTAATCCAGGACACAAACACTGGAAAGCCATATCTAGAGTATTAAATTACATTCGATACACTAAAAGTTATTGGCTGCACTATGGGAGAGAACCCGCAGTTTTGGAAGGATATAGTGATGCAAACTGGATATCTGACACCAAAAACTCGAAATCCACAAGTGGATATGTCTTTACCCTTGCTGGTGCAGCAGTCTCTTGGAAGTCTTCCAAACAAACTCTACTGGCCCGATCAACCATGGAGTCTGAATTTATAGCTTTAGACAAAGCTGCAGAGGAGGCCGAATGGCTCCGAAATTTCTTGGAAGATATTCCAATGTGGGAGAAACCAGTCCCGGCAATATGTGTACACTGTGATAGTCAATCAGCTATCGCCCGGGCACTGAATTATCTCTATAATGGTAAATCTCGTCACATAAGAAGGCGACATAAAACCATTAGAAGCTTGATCACAACCGGAGTAATCTCACTAGATTACATAAAATCAGCTGATAATCTAGTTTAGAGTTATTTCTATTCATGTGGGGGATTGTTGGACCCAAATTATTACAAAGCCCAAAGGCTTTAAAATTTGGTCAAGTGTGAATAAAAATAAAGCCCTTCAAGGCAACTTAAAATGTGAGGAACTTCATTTTGTCCCACATCCAAGGATTGGAAAAATTTAGAGTCATATAAATATAGACACACACATGACATAGTTCAAAGTGTGTGAAGGAGAACCAAGGACCCCTCGCGCGCCGCCGCCGCCGCCGAGCCCGGCTCGGGTCTCAGATTTCGGGTTTCGGGTCTCGGGTCTTGGGTCTTGGGTCTTGGGTCCACAAAAGATGTTTTTTTTGGGCCACGTTTTGGTCAACATTTCTGGCCCAAATTGCTAAAGTTTTCGGTTCAAATTCTTAACAGAATCACGACATTAAACTGCAGTCAAATGTCTATCCCAAAAATCATGCCAAGATTAACGCCCAAATTGCATCATTAGCGCAAATTAATCACGTCATTAACATGCTGATTAAGTGCGACGCTCCTCTCTCCTTCGCTATATATATATCGACTTTTCCTCTTCCAATTTTAGTCGCTTTCTACAAAAAATTTACAGAGAAAAATCGTTCACACTTTTCTTCAATCTCTCTCGTCTCTTTTCTTCTTTCAAGAGTAAGTGTCCGAGAGTATATCGTAGAATATCAGTTCGTCACATTCTATAATCTGGTACTGCGATTATACGAATACTAGTGGTTATATCCTGGGATTCATTATCTCATCCAACCGCCACACTGCGGGAGATATTTTGAATTAAGGAAAGAGATCATCTCGCCTCCACTTCTCGTTTTTCCTTAATCCGCTTTTATAAAACGTTTTTCTGTATCTCAAATCGTTTTCTTACATTGCAATATTTGTCTCCTCTAAATTTACGTCCTACATAAATAATCTCTTGGTAAACCCGAATATCATATGTAATATCACTTCAATGCAAAATCAAAATTAATATTAAGCTTTTGAGCCATGACTCGCCTATGGTCCCCTCTATCCCTTTCCTCGAAGTAAAGATTCGATGTTCTAGATGAACAAGTCAACTTCTGTTGTTATTTTTAGTTTCTTTTGAGTTTGCAATTTGCAAGGAACATTTTCTTAAATTTGGCTAATAAATTTATTTTTGAAGTTGACACTTAGATTATATAATTTAACGAAACACTTTGACGAAGTCTTAGAGAAAAAATGAAGTCTTAGTCACTTGGATTACATAAATATTAGATAGGAAAGACTTTATGGGAGTAGACCTCTGCAACCAATGACACTCATATGATCATTTTAAAAATCGACACTTGTATATTGACCTAAAAATTATACATACTAAGAGTTTACCAAAAAAAAATTATACATACAAAGATTTTAACAAAACTTAGTCTCGATAATCACGTAGTCTGATTAGTTAGGTAGATCAGCGTAAGAATAATATTTTATTCTATATTATTTTTTAACGCTGAGCTCAATTTTGGATGTTGCAAATTAAATTCGTTTCAAGGGATAATGTAAAACGAATTATATTGGTACAAAAACGAATTACAATATGTTTGTAAGTAACTTTCAATTGTGAATTAGCTCTTTTTTTTTTTTATAGAGGCTCCATAAAAAATGAATATCGGCGAAGTTTAGTTTGATTTGGTTAAAAGTGATGTTTATGACCTTCAAGTAAGGCAGCAATTAATTTATCTGCTCTACATCTATTAATTTGTGTTTATGAGTTTGGTAACGTTGGTGATGTTGACTGAAAGGAGATAGCTGTTGGGATCGGTGGAATTGTGTATGGTGGTGCGCTCGGCAATGGCTTGTGTACCACATTCAGAATCAAGATTGGATATGGTGGCTGTTTGGGCAAATTTTAACCGGCTCGTACGTGAATAGTTCTACGGAATGACGAGAAGAGATAGATCTTTATTAATCAACGAATATTAAGTTACAGGCAATCAATATTGAAAAGCAAAGTAAGTTGGTATCGCCCGTCGTTCGGTAGTCGTCGTCGATTGGCGAGAGCGAAGGTACGATGAGATCTGGTCGTTCGGTTCTCTGTTGCGAAAATAAAGCTTTTAGGGCTTTTTGTAGTATATGTTTGTCTGTCCGTCCTTGCTCTAGGACTTCTCTATTTATAGGGTTATGTCAATCCTAATTCTTATTGAATTAGGTTTTATATGTCGGTCGGTCTTTCCATATTTCCCTTTGAATTGGGAGCTCATGTCGGTCAGTCGCTCCAATTTTTCTGGACGGTTTATTCAAGAATATGAACCAACGACTTATAATAAACCACTGGTTGATGTTAAACCGATTGACAATGACGAATAGTCGATGTTGAGACTCTCTCTCTAGTGACCGTTTGTCACTCCCATTCTTTTCAGGTATATGATCACAATGACCGTTTGTCATTCATACTCTCTTATCCGCGACACGATCACAATGACCATTCGTCACTCCTTTCCTCTTGCCAATGACATGTTCACAGTGACCGTTCGTCACTCCTTCTTTCTTAGCAGTGACATGATCACGGTAACCGTTCGTCAATCCTTTTCACTTAGCAGTGACATGATTACATTGACCAGATAATGAATTAATTTCACCCAACAGTGGCGGAAGAAGGAGATGAGCCGAAAAAGGGTTTTAAGAACTATAATTTTTGCTCTGATATCATAGAGATTAAGCTTTTTAGTATTAATGAACTTGGTACAAATATTTATACATATATGTTATAGTCAGTGTGAGAACAATTCCCATAATGTCATGAATCTCCATTTCAGAAATGTATTCCCCAACCGGTTACAAATTATGGATTTCCATTTAGGAACGGGATAGAACAAGAATGAGATTTCCTACAATTTCATTTCAAACAAAAAAAATAGATTAATTACATAATATTATATATAATTGAATATATTACATATATTAGAAAACAAAAAATAATGGGATTTTTTTTTTTTAATAGTCTGAAACTTCATTGATTGAAGTGGTGGAAAAATGTTTAGTACAAAGAAAGATTAAAGCATCAAACAGCTAAGGGAAGGGTTATACAGATACTTTAATCAAAAAGAGTTCTGACGAAGGAGGTTGTGTAACCATGAAGGTCATCCATCGTAATGTATGATTGAAAACGTCCATCACGAGTCACGCTCTTGGCTATTTCCCTTGCAGCTCTGTTAGCTTCAGGCGCCTCGTATTCAATGGAGCAGTATGAGAAGCCAATACATGACCGATGTATGTAATCAGTAAAAGCACGATATCTTGGCCACTCTAAGGGTTTGGTAATCGCGTCGATCATGACCTGTGAATCCGATACAACAATCACCTCTGAGACGTGTAAGTCGTGTAGACCTTGAGGTGCCCATATGAGGCATCTGAATTCAGCAATCATTCGGTTAGGTGACGACGTGAAGGCTTCTCTAGCGTGAAAGAGGGCTGCTCCAGAGTGGTCACGTAAAATCCAAGAACCCCCACTATGCAGTTTGTCATTGCGCCAATTAGCATTGATATTGCACTTGACGAGACCTGAGTGAGGAGGACACCATCGCTTCTCTATGGGAGTAGCTGTTCTCGGAGAAGCTCCTGCTGGAGTTGTTGGTACCTGGATTGTGAACCATAAGGATGTTTCATAAAAACAATATAGGAAATATGTTTTCTGATTAGAAAAAATTATATATTTATTTTTAGCAATTTTAAACACTTCATAAAAAACAAAAGGAGTTTTAAAAAATAAAACATATAAATCAAAGTCTTTTAATATATTTATATATATATAGACAAAAACCAAAATCTAAATAATCCACCATTCAAGTTTTCTTAAAACCAAAATCTACAGCAAAATGAAAAACCAAAAAATCAAAAACTAAAATCTGAAAACCAAAAACTTGAAGCCAAAAACCAAAAACTAAAATCTAAAAACCAGTCAAACATTCATGGGCTTATTCTAACAAGTCATAAAGTCTATTTACTTTCTTTCGGTTTCATAATATTTATTGTTACAAAAATCTTAATATTTTAAAAAGGAATATCGTTTTGTATTTTTCAATACATATTTAATACAAAGTCCCAATCTTATCTTAAAAAAAAAGTTTTATCAGTGTTCAAGACTATATATTTATTTATTTCTTTCACCCGCACTGTATTGTAGTGACAAGTCTTATAGAGAATTCATCAAATCAATTGTCAAGAAAGTTAAAAATTTGCTAGACAGTATCCCGTTGGGAGGAACAGATCAGAAACGACAGGAAGTAAATAGCCAGTGTTCTATGATCTATGCAAGGAGAATCGTTATCACACATTCGGAGAAACCAGAAATTTGGACATGGAGTTCTATTTACGAGCCACAAAAGTAAGTGTTTTTTAAGAATAATCAGTTTCTCACTAAACTACTAAAGTACCGTCGTATTTTCTTTTCCAAGCTGCTTAATAACATCTATATCCTACAGTGTCTATTTATACGATAATGCACCTCTACAAATGGTTGTGGATACTTACAGTTACAAAATATCTGTTAAATTGTTCTTTAATTAGTTATAGTAATTATATATAAAAAAATAGACGTTATCGATCACATATTATTATATTTAGAACCCTTCTATTTGGTAACTTAAACTACTAAAAAAAAATACTAAATGCTTTTGTACAAAATGTTAGAAATATGTCACCTTATTTCGTATGCCCTTTTAATTAATTATGATTTAAATCTGTCATATTTTGGAAATACTTTTCAGCGAAGTATCCATTGAAGTTGCGATACTAAACGAAGTTTACTGGTTAGACATAAGAGGAACTTTTTATACGAGTAAACTGACACCAGAGACAAAATACGAGGTGGTGTTCGTGGTGAAGTTAGAAGAGACTGCATCTGGATGGGAGGAGCCAGTGAACTTAAGTCTTAAGCTGGTCATGCGCGATAAGAGCGAGGTTCTGCAGGAACAAACATTGTGTTTGGAAGACTACATATGTGACGAATGGGTCGATATTAGAGTCGGAGATTTCGTTGCACCACCAGAGGACGCATTAGTGAAGCTCGTGTTCATAATGAATCAGTATGACGACACTGTCCGTAAGACCGGGCTTGTGGTTAAAGGTGTTGCAATTCGTGCCGTGACCTAAGATACAGAAGCAAAAGTATATTGGATCTTTCTTGTCTATTTCATTTCAAAGAAAAACCTGGTTTAATGTTTGGTCAAAGGTGTGTGCATTTTATACGTATTATAAAATAAGGTTTGTACTTTGAAATTCTAAAAAGTTGAAATTTTTATTCGGTTTTACCATTATAATTTTCTGTTATTTATCCATTCTTTGTGTGTGTTTAGATAAATTATAACTTTATTACTAAATAAATTAGGAAAAATTCAAAACAAAATTTTTAAAAAATCAAAAGCAACAAAATGAAGTATAAGTCGTATTTTGATAAACTTAAATATGAATAGTTGTATGTTGTATTGCTATATAAAAAGGTCATCAGTTGCATTTTTTCGAAAATTGTCATCAGTTGCATTTATTCGAAAATACTGACTTTTTTTTTGTCTTCCAAATCCAAAATTGATATTAATTATTTATTCGGCAATTGATATGTTTATTAGGTGATAAAGCTGCAAAACCGACCACGCTTGAACTTATTTTAATCAGACGGGAAATCATAATCAAATTTATTTATTTCATATTCAAAGTTATTCTTCAAGCTGGCCAGCCAAAGAAGAAAAGAAATTCGTTATGTATTTTTGGATCGCCATTGTAGTTTCTATATAAACCAACTTCCAAATACCAGTTTGCATAAATCTCATCTTAAAATCTTCTCATTCATCAACTAAACGGAAATCACTAAAGTAAACGCTTCAAAAGCGGCCATAATGAAGGCGTTTTTCATTCAGATGTGGCGTGGCTGATCATCGCCGGGGTGGTCGTTGACGTTATAAAACGTAAATCTATATTAGTGTGGCAGCCGAACTAATTTCACTCGCAGCTGCCATGGCGTTAGTGGTTAGAATCTAACTTTTGAATTTTCACCTTTTATGTATCTTTTCTATATATATGCTTGTTTATATCATTATATGAAGTTGAGGTATGAGATTTCTAAATTTGGACAGATAAAGTTTTGGGTCCTCAAGCAACAAAACGACAAGGTCTACATGATCAATGCTAGGGATCTCTCTATCACATGGTCGGATAACCCTGAATATTGGTCTTGGCTCCCTTTTCTAAACGAGAAACCAAAGTAAGAAGTCTAAAACTTTCTTTAATCTATAAACCTTCCACATGCATTACAAAAATGGGATATATATTGTAAGATTATGAAACTCCGTAGAAAATTTTATTTATAAGACAATTCTTATACAGTAAAACTTCTATAAATTAATAATGTTGGGTCCATGATATTTTATTAATTTATCATGATATTAATTTATCTATAAATTAATAATTATTAATTTATAGAAAAAAATTGCTTTCCGCTTATAATTTTCTAAAACTTTATTTGAAACAATGTTATATTTTAAAATTTTAACAACTCATAATATATATTATGATTAAAAATCATAACTATCACAATAAAATAATTTTTTACCATATTGGATTGTCCATATAAAAATATAAATTTTCATCAGTTGAAAATTTATTAAAAAATTATGGTTATTATCAATATCATTGATGATTAAATTGAAGATAACATTACAATGCATTTAAAAATATTTACATGTAAGAAAATCAATTATCACATAAAAGAATCATCATAAATTTTGAATGTATATAGTAAAACAGCAATAAGAGCTACTGATATAATAATTAGAAAGATGAGAACCAATGAGATTTCAACTTTAACTAAAAACAAACACATTAGTCATATTTTAGAATATTAAATTTACATATAATTGCATAAATTATATAATTATTAATTTATGTTTTTGTTGGGACCATGTATTTACATAAAGGTTTCAAAAAAAATTATTATTTTATTATCTTATCGAATTTGATGGATTTTTACATTGACCCGACTTGGGACCAACAAAATTTATTAATTTATAATGATTATTAATTTATCGAGTATTAATTTATAGAGGTTCTACTGTGTATAGTTACAAGAGGAGTAGCCTCCAAGTAATCTTTACATATTTGACAATATTATATAAAGAATATATTCAATTTTCCTATAATCTTATACTCCTTGAATTCGCAGTCAGAGCAGAAGGTTCTCGAACGCTCAGACTGGATCGAAAGTCAAGGAGGAAGAGCTTGGAAGGTAGTCCCTTGGTGAAGATATCAACATACTGTTGAGCTGACGGAACATGTAGAACTTTAATTTGACCAAGTGCGGCACGTTCCCAAACAAAATGGATGTCGATCTCGATGTGCCTGGTTTGTTGATGTTGAACAGGATTAGCGGATATATAAACGGCACTGACATTATATCACAGAAGACCACATATGTGCGTTGAAGCGGGTACTGCATTTCAAGAAACAAGTTTCGAAGCCATGTTAACTCCGATACTGCATTAACAACACCTCGATATTCCGCTTCAGCACTACTCTTCGAGATAGTGTGTTGCCGCTTAGAAGACCAGGAGATCAAATTATCACCAAGAAAGACACATAATCCAGATGTTGAACGACAAGTAGTTGGACACCCAACCCAGTCAGCGTCAGAATAATAGGCCGTGAGCTGAGTTGTTGAAGAAGACCGATAAAGCTGCAAACCATGAGAAAGTGTCCCTTTGACATAGCAAAGGATACATTTCAAAGCTTGGAAGTGAGCTTCATGAGGATCATGCATAAAAAGACATACTTTCTATACCGCCTAAGTAATATCTGGTCTGGTGAATGTGAGGTACTGCAGAGCTCCAGCGAGACTACGATATAGAGTTGGATTCTTCATAGAAGAACTGGCTTTAGCTGCAAGTTTGAGCTTTGTGTCAACCAGAGTCAAAAATGGGTTGCAAGCAGTCATGTTGGCACGATAAAGAATGTCTGCTGCATAATTATGCTGATGAAGGAACAAGCCTTGTTGATTACAACATATGGAGATTCCGAGAAAATGATGTAATGGTCCTAGATCAGTCACGGCAAACTCGGAATGAAGTGAGGCTATGATCTACTTAAAAAATGATGGCGTGGAGGCTGTGAGGGTAATATCATCAACGTAAAGTAAGAGATATGTACGCTCACTACCTCGAATCATGATACACAGCGAGGTATCAGTAGTACTCTGGTGAAATCCAATACAGCTAGAAAAGACAGCAAACTGCGTGTACCATGCACGAGGAGCCTGTTTAAGACCGTAAAGAGACTTGTGAAGTAAGCGGGCATGATCAGGTTTGGATTCATCACCAAAAACCAGGAGGTTGATGCATGTAAACTGTTTCTTATAGATCGCTATGAAGAAATGCATTCTTAACATCGAGTTGATGAAGATGCCAGTCACTCACAACAACAACACTTATAACCACACGGATCATAGCCGGTTTGAACACAAGACTGAAAGTGTCATCGTAATCGATGCCTTGTTTTTGAGACTTGCCATTCGCCACTAGACGAGCCTTGTAGCGCACCAGCTTGCCACCTGAATCAAATTTGTGCCTAAACAACCACATAGAACAAACAAAATTAGCAGAATTTGGCCGTGGTACAAGAGACCACATTCTAGTTTTAATAAGAGCATTATATTCCTTATGTGTAGCAGGGTTCCAATTTGGATCCTTCAGAGCCTGAACATGCGAAAACGGAAGAGGGGAAACAACGTCAGTGTGAAGACATAAGCGTTCCCAAGGCTTGAAGATGCCAGTACGAGCACGAGTAGTCATAGGATGTGTTGAGGTTGTCGGCTGAGGCGGAGGAGGTGGTGGTGGTGGTGAAGGTGGAGTTCTCAGAACAGTTTGTGTTGTATCCAAATTCGTCGAAGATGGACGTATGATCGGTGGAGGTGATAACTCAAGTTGTGGAGGTGGTTTTGCTTGAGGAGACAGAGACGCAAAAGGGAATGTCTCTTCATCAAAAATGGCATGTCGAGAAAGAAGGACCTTGTTTGTAGAGAGATCCAAGCACCGATATCCACGATGATCAGTAGGATACCCCAAGAAGACGCAAGGCATGGAGCGATGAGCAAGCTTGTGTTGTGTTAGAGGAAGAAGATTTGGATAGCAAAGATAGCCAAACACGCGAAGTTGATCATACATAGCAGGCTGGTTGAAAAGCTTGGTGAATAAGACTGCTTGTGCAATAAACGATGATGGGAGCAAGTTGAGAAGATGAACTGCGCGCGGTGGAGAGTGCTTCTACCCAATAATTTGGAGGCAAATGAGCCTGAATGAGGAGAGTGCTTCTACCCAATAATTTCGAGGCAAATGAGCCTGAATGAGGAGAGTGCGTACCAAGTTATTGAGGGCACAAAGCATGCATTCAGCCTTTCCGTTTTGTTGAGACGTATACGGGCAAGAAAAGCAAAAATTGATTCCGGTAGTTTCAAATAGTGTCCGAACTGTCCATTGTCATACTCAAATCTATTATCACAATGAAAAGAGATTATATTCTTCCCAAATTGAGTCCGAACCAATGCTGAGAAGTGGAGATAAGATGCATAAACTTCACTCTTTCATCGCAGGGGATAAATCCAAACGTAGTAACTAAAATCATCAAGAAAGATGAGATAATACTGAAAACTACTGATACTCATAACAGGGGAGGTCCATAAATCAGAATGAATAACTTCAAATGGTTTAATAGTAGATGTAGTAGATAAAGATAAGGGTAGACGAACATGTTTTCCTAAATGACACGCATGACACAATTTTGTCATGTCGGTCGTTTTAAAAGAAATAACACCAGAAGAAATAAAAGAATCGGTCGTCGATGAGCCAGGATGACCAAGTCGACGATGAAAAAGGTCCAGAAACTGATAAATATGCATGCGTGGAGGAAGATGAAGTGGGCGTGACGGAGTAGAAAGGTCTTGAGCTATCACATCTGAGGAGTTTTGTCCGCGTTCGAAGGTCCTTAACACAAAAACCAAAAGGGTCAAACTCAATAGAACATTCATTATCAGTTACAAACTGGCACACATATACTAGATTCTTGACGATTGATGGACACACAAGCACATTGCGAAGGTGAAAGGGGCGAGAGTTGGTTATGAGGCTTGTATGATCCGTGTTAGTAACAGTGGCGGTAGAACCATTACCTACAGTAACATGAGGAATATTTTTGCTCTTATTAAAAGAAGAATGTAGCGTACCTGATTAAGTTGCGATGTGGTTTGTAGCGCATGTATCCATGTACCAGGTGTGTTTAGAGGGATCTTGAATACTTATGGTATTAAACGCAGTTATGAGTGCATATGAGATGTAGCTGTTGGAGCTGTTCCGCACAGGACGGTGGAGGCGTCTATTAAATGTAGTGGACGTTGCTAGGGTTGTGGTGCTATGAGACGAGGACGGAGGTGGCGCAGGTGCATGATAATACGACGGTGGAGAAGCGTATGAGGAAGGTCCATGATATGATGGAGGCACCGAATATGATGGAGGATACTGCCACGGTGAGCCATAGGACCATGGTAGATACGCATAAGAACCGGAGCCGTAATTGTTGTTGTAGTTGCGATCGCGATCTCGATTTTTTCGACCGCCGTGTCCACGTCCATGATTGTTGTGATTGTTCCCATAAGACTGGTGTTGCTGCTTTGGATCTGACTGTTGATTCAAAGAGGAGTACATGACCGCCGACGGAGATGTGGATTCAGGAACCTGAGGAACAGGTTTGACTTGCTTAAAGAGACGCGGTTCCCCCATAAGAAGCATCAAACGAGCTTTGGTGAAGGAAGAGAATGGAGTTTGATGCTGAATAACATTAAGAATGCTATCATACTTCTCCGAAAGCCCGTTCAACATGTGCATCACTAGCAAACGATCTGAGACAGGAGAGTTAAGGTTCGCATGGAGATCAGATAGGGTCTTGATTTTATGGCAGTAGTCATGAACACTCAAGTCACTGATGAGAAGGCTGCGAAGCTCGTTTTCGTGTTGCATAGCACGAGCCTCATTGTTGTTACAAAAAAGATTTTTGAATGTGACCCAAATATCATAAGGCGTTGCTTTGGCCTTCAGGATTGTATTGAGGATTTGTTCGGAGACAGTCTCGTAAATCCACATCTTCACAAGTCCGTTGTGTTCTTTCCATGTCTTTTCAGACTCAGGGGTAGGTTTAGAGGAGCAATCGAGATGACCTTGAACACTCAACGTGAGGTAGTGAGTCTCAAAGAGCTCACGCCAGACATTATAATTCATCTTGGTGAGATCAAGTTCAATTGGTATGTAAGCATGAATTTGAGTGATTCCAATCGGCTTATCGTTCGAAGAAGGAGAGGAAGAAGGTGTGTTTGTCGGAGGACACATGTTGATGAGAGAAGCACGGAGAGGAAGAAGAAGAAGAAAGAAAGAGAGAGCGGAGACTGATCGAGTCTAGCGGCCGAGGTAGGGTTATTCGGTTAAGTTATGTTAAGCTCTGATACCATGTAAGATTATGAAACTCCGTAGAGAATTCTATTCATGAGGCAATCCTTATATAGTTACAAGAGGAGTAGCCTCCAAGTAATCTTTACATATTTGACAATATCGTATAAAGAAAATATTCTATTTTCCTATAGTCTTATATATATATATATATATATTCAAAATACACTGTTCATTTTTATAAATTGATATTCGATAAATTAATATCTCGATAAACTAATTCATTTGTTAGATCCTCCAATTAATTTTTTTGGCGTATATATATGTATATATATATATTAATAAATTAATAACTCTATAAATTAATAAAAAAAGTAATAAAATAACGTAGGTATTTTCAACAATATTAGTTTATAAAGATTTTCTTGGAATTTCTAACATATTTTATTCATGTTTCATTGTATAAATGCATCTTGGATTCATATAATTAATACTTCAGTAAAGAGTTTGTCTAATTGTGATGGACCGCTCTCTAACATATAAACTGGTGATTTATGCAGCGAGCCAGTGGTTGAGGCAGCCGTGTTGAATAATGTTTGCTGGTTAGATGTGTCGGGAAATTTTGACACAAAAGGTCTACTTTTGGGGAAAAAGTACGAGTGGTTTTCGTGGTGAAATTAGAGGATATATACCGCTTACGGATGGAACAGGGACTGGGCACCCGTTAAGCTGAAGCTGGTCGTGCTCAAGTGTAGTGAGACACCGCAAGAGCATATTGTGAGTCTTGTGGAATATATTGGGAAGCAGTGGATAGATATTTCGGCCGGTGAGTTCATGATGTCGAAGGAGAACCTCGGAGACATCACTTTCTTGTTGTATGAGCAATTGAGCATGATGCCAATATGTGGAGGTCAGGGCTTATAGGCGTTGATTGGTTCACCCATTAGCGTTTGCGGTTGATAGCGGTTAGTGGCGTTTTATAACAATCATAGAAATCGCTTCAAACTGCTCTGTATCGTTTTATACCGCTGAAATCCAAAAGCTACTTCCCGCAAGTGATTGCAATTGCGGGTGGTAGCGGGTGAGTAAAAAAAAACCACACTAGAAAAAAGAAAAGAAAAAATCATATTATAAAAAATTATGAATTTCTAACTTTACTGTAGTCTTCTATCATTTTTTCTATCAAGTTCTAGTTTCGTCCCCTAATCATGGTTTCTATACCAGTTAAAAAAATAAAAGTACAAGCATAAATACCATAATATTTTGGAAAAATTGGATCTATTGAAAAAAATTTTACATTATGCATAGGACAAATCATAAAGATTCACATATTGGAGCAATTTTTTTCAGTTTATTACATTACTGGATACAATTTTGGGTGATATTCCCAACAATTGAAATAAAACATGTTATTATAAAATTTCTTAGTTTTTAAATAATTATTCAATATTTATTTATGATTTTTTATTAATTATTCTGAATTAGTGATTTTGATATTTAGCATAATAATATATTTTTGATACTTTTTTAGGGATAATTGGCAAAATACACTTTTTAAGTTTTTGAATTAGTAAAATACACTGCTTTTTAATATTTTTGAAAACAACACTTTTGATATATGTAAAAAAACGTTTTTGCCCAAAGTTAATTAGATAATTACGTATTTTAATGAAAGAAACTAAAAATTCGAAATTATTAAAATTATGACTAATTTTTGTTTGAGATAAAGATAACTAATAATTTAGTATTGTATAGTTTACAGTTGGATAAATCTTTCAAAAATTTTAAATTTATCTTACAAAATTAGTGTGTATATAAAGATGACATTAAACGGTTTCATCAAACAATTCAGTTTTCTTATGAAAAAACAGAGCTAAAAGAAAGCAGAGCAACATAGCTTCTTTCGATTTCTGGTAGTCTCTCTGATTCACAACAACAATAACCGAGAATAAACAATAGATTGTGTCATGCGAAATCACATTGGTTTCAGAGCATTGGTAATGGTATAAATGTATACGTAATTTCCGGTGTAATTTCTGCGAACATTGACTTTAAATAATATGATACACCAAATCTATCATACTGCATATATAAAGTAGTATTCTTGTTTCATCAGAATAAGTAGTGATTGAATAGATCTAAGTGCACTACGTTACTTCTATTTTAGGAGGTACTGTAAGAAGTAAGAACTATACTGTATTTTCATTTCTAACTATACGTTCATTCCTATGAAACACATGTGACCTTTTCTTTTATTATTTTTTTTATTTTAAGATGAATGTGTAGTAAGAGAAATAAAATCATCACAAACAAAAGCATTCGAGTCGAATATCATCTAAAATTTTTCTACGATAACAGATGGTAAGACAGAACATGTTTAAAATGAAACGCAATAAATTTAAAAATTATTCTTTTGTCGTCAAACATCTCTAATTAAAAAGGACATTCTATTTAAATACTATTTATATTGGTTATTAGAATATCTGTAAATATATTCTAATTTTCTTTGAAAAAACATTATGATATAAATGTAAAAATTAGTATAATTATTATATAGGTTAATTTAGTCATTTTACTCTTTGATAAGTGTAGTTATCAATTTTTTTTTAAAAAAGGTGTAGTTTCCAAAATATAAACTCACTTCAAAGTATTTTCTCAAATTTTTTCTATTTTTTATGATTATATATCATATTTATTTTGGTAATTATATGTTTAACCGCTATTACATCTGCTGGTTAACCAATCATAAATATTTCGCTAACGGATTCGCTTTCAACAGTTAAACCAATCGTACAAATTGTTCAATAATGTTCGAAACCAAAATCGTCCGTTTTTGCAAACTCTCATACTCATAACCGCAACCGCTGCGTTTAAATTAGTCAAATTCATAGTCAAAGGCGTTGTAATTCGTTCTAAACACTAGGTCTAAGGAAATGTATGTATTGATTTGGTTACTCGCTGATTCTATGAGAACCTATATATACACTTTTATATTGGTTATGGACGGTGTACCATTATAATGAGTTATCTGTCTTAACTAGATAAGCAGTCAATTTTAGCATAAATTAAGTAAACGACTATGATGACAAAATGTTAAATACATATGAAGGAAGATGAGTTACGTGAAATTAATGAATATATATATAATATAATCTTTTTTTTTATAGTTTTGTGAAATTGTGTGATTTGACATCTGATAGAATAGCGTGTTAATTATTTGGCAAAATCGCAATCGCCTATTAACCAATCTGATAGAACATCATGTTTTCAGAAAAGAAAACATATTTTTTTGACCGGGGATGCCGATAGAGTTAAAAGACCAATTCAATCATAAGAAGAAAAAAAATATGTTGACAACTTACACATTAAATTATTGTGAAAATTCCTCAGACTAATCTTTAAGGTTAATGAAATGACAAACCTAACCTAACATATTGAAAGGCTTACTAGACTAACCTTATAAAGTTGGTTTAAGTCCATTTTATCCAGATGTTGAATATTATTACGAAAATGCGATTATGATTTTTTTTTTTATAAAATTTTTTTTTTCGAAAAAAATTTAATTTCGAAAATTTTTTTTTAAAAAATCGAAATTTTTTTTGACGAAAAAAGCAAAAAAAAAAAAACACAAAACCAAAAACTAAAAAAAAAAAACCCTAATTCATCTTCTTCTCTCCCTCTTTCTCCAGCGCCGTTTTTTTTTCTCCCATGGAGCTGCTCTTCTTCATAACTTGGTAGCCTTCCTTTTTTCACAGCTTTCTCTTCACAGCTTTCCTTTTGTTTCACAGATCCACATAGATCTTGCCTCAATCGCCGTTCAGAAACTTGTTCAGGTTTGTTTTTTTTCTCATTTTCTTATTTTTTCTTCTTTCTTCTTCGTCTTCCTCTTTCCCTTCGTCTTCTACTTTCTGTTTGGCGGAGGAGGAGTTTTACTGTTGGTGTTAGAGATCTCGGAAATATTGGCACGACTCTTAAGCGGCGTTCTCGCCGCATCGCGCACAACCGCACTGGACAGATGTTGTTTCGAAGAAATGGTAGTGTCCCGGAGGTTGACGGCGGCGTAAGTTTTTTTCTGTAAAACCCGCGACCCTAATTTTTTTTGTTTCAGGTAAGTTTGGTAGATATATTTGGAAAACGATAAGTAGTTTGGTAGATTTATTGTATTTTTTGTTGTAAAGTTCATAATATGTGATGGTAGATTTTTTTGAAAAACGATATGTAGTTTGGTAGATTATTAGTTATTTGATGGTAGATATTTAGAAAACGAAATATGGTTTGGTAGATTTATTAGTTATTTGATGGTAAAATTATTTTAGAGTAAAAACGATGTCATTTGGTAGATTTATTAGTCATCTAATGATAGACTTACTTGTAAAACGATGTGGTTTGGTAGATTTACTAGTCATTTAATGGTAACTTATTTGAAAAATGATTTGTGTTTGGTAGATTTATTAGTTATTTATGGTAGATTTATCAGTCGTATATATTTGAATTTTATATACGAATGACAGTATTTGTTTATTTTTTTCTGACAGATTATGGGTTTTGCCATGGTGAACAAATCTTTGATGGGATATCCAGCATCGATCCGACATGTTTTACTATGAATTGTAGATTTGCATTTGGTAGATTTGTTTTGAAATAATGGTAGATTTATTATTAAATTGATGGTATATCTGTATTTTGAATTTGTAAAAATGATAATTAGATTTTAAATGATAATATTGTTGTTTTCAAATTATATTTGTCGTAAAACATTGACCCAGACATTTTCACATTTATACCACATTTGCTAGTAATGTTATTATTCAATTTAATTTATTTCTTTACTTTCACTATAATGTATATCATAACTGAATAAAATTTTAATTTAAAACACATGACTAAAATCATTTGACATTGTGATGTTGTAAGAGTTTATGTAAATAGAGTTAAATGTAACAAATATTCAAAAATAAAAATAAAAAAAATCATAAGTTAAGAAATGGTTATTACAGATATGACATATGTTCAAAGTTAATATGAAAAGCAAAGTTATCTTAGAGAAAATATATATCATAGAAAAAATATTCATGTTTGAAAATTTTGACCATTGATTATGGCATCTATATCGTAAATACCAATAATCATCTGTGATCGAATCACAGTTAACCGACATAATCTTAGCAAACTCATGCAAAAAAAACGTCAATGGTAACAAAACCAACTCAAATATAACCATGGAACAAGTCTACCATATGTACGAAACTTGTTTAACATACGACACTTCAAAACAAGTCTACCAAACGGTAGGTTTTTTCGTAGATAGAACAATTCTTTCAGGACAAAAAAGTAATTTCACTCCATAAAGTCAAATGTCTGCCAAACATTAACTACTAAGTCTACCTCAAGCATGAAAAATAACTCTACCATATAAACAAGTCTACCATAAGCATGTCATATGTCTACCAGATCAAGGTTATCTTTGTAAATACCAAACTTAATTAAATCTACCACATTATTATTTTAAGAAGTCTACCATACGTTCGATAACTCTACATATTACATAAACTCTACCAAACATACAAACAAATCTACCAACATTTCGTAAGTCTACTTCATGTATTATTAATCTACCACAAACTAGAATGAAATTTATTTTAAATTTAAGTCTACCACAAAACAAACATATCTACCACAAAACAAATAAATCTACCAAAAGTTTTTAAGTCTACCTCATGTAACATATAATCTACCACTCACCGGAATGAATTTTAACTGAATTAAATCTACCACAAGTCAAACATATCTACCACAAAAGCGAAAACTCTACCAACTATTTATAACTCTACCATAAAACAGATATATCTACCGCACGTATTAACAACTTTTTCACATAAATCTACCACTAAAGGAAATAAGTCTACCAACACAGAAAATAAATCTACTTCATTGTCAATAAATCTACCGAAAAAGTCAACTATGCGAGCAAGTCAACGCTTTTTTTAACAAGTCTACCAAAACTTTTGACAAGTCTACCATTCATAACAACAAATCTACCGAAACATAATAAATCTACCTCTCATCGTCAAAACTCTACCAAGATAAGTCTACCAACATTTAAAAACTCTACCAACTCTCGAATAAATCTACCATCGACCTAATAAATCTACCAACAAAATTTCTGCGTTGACCAAAATTTCATAAGTCTACCGTCATAGCTTGGTAGACTTATTAAATTTTGAGCGCCATAATCTGCCTACGTGGCATTAAAAAAATAATGGCATTTTTGTAATTAGGTTTTTTTCAACAAATGCGAAAATGATGTTTTAGGTATGCTAGGTTAGTTTTGTAAAAAAAATAAAAGTGCGTCGAACGACTAATATAGATACTTTCTAAGGTTAGTGTAGTAATCCTCCCTAAATTATTTTGATATTCAAGTTTATAAAGACGTTGTAATTAGCTTTATCGCTCAAAGCATCTTGACTGACAAAATGTCAAACAACAATTAACAAAAACTCTCATTTAGCTTTTTTTTTTCCCAAAAAGAAAGAGAAGCTCTCACATGGCCGCTTCTTCATCGGTAGCAACCCTAACGGGGCCTCAAGTGTTCATCAGCTTCCGGGGAGAAGATGTGCGCAAGAACTTCATAAGCTTTCTCGACCCTGCTTTGAGAAGAGCCAATATAAATGTCTTCATAGACGAGAATGAGTTCTTGGGCGCAGAGCTAGCTAACCTGTTGACGAGGATAGAAGAGTCTGAGATCGCACTGGTAATCTTCTCAGAGAATTACGCCGACTCAGATTGGTGCTTGGATGAGCTGGCCAAGATGAAGGAACGTAAGGATCAAGGTCGTCTCATAGTGATTCCCATCTTCTACAATCTTGATCCTTCCGTTGTGAAAGAACTTAGAGGAAACTTTGGCGATAAGTTCAGGGATCTGAAGCGCAGACATCTACACCAGCTAGAAAGAACTCAGAAATGGGAGGAAGCTTTAGTGTCTATTCCTGACATAAAAGGCATGCCCCGAGCAGAACAAAGGTTAAGTTTTTTCTTTTGGTCCATTTCTTTCTTATAAGTTATAACTGAAAGTTTCAATCTGAAACTAGACTAATAATCTACCTAGGCCCTAGTTAAATAAGTCAGTAGTAACCAAGAAGATACTTACATCTAGAATCTTATATTCTTGTATGCCTAAAGTATGTTGCAAGTTCTAATTCATAGAAAGAACAAGCTTGTTGATATCTCTCATCACTTGTATGGTATGACAGTGATAGGACTGATAACGATTTTATAAACTCAATGGTCGTCGGGATTCAGAGATTGCTGGATCATATGGCCGTGAGAGGAAACCCAGCAAGAGAAACAAATCGTCAAGGAGGTTCCATGGTCCCTGCAAGGAAACTAGTAAGAGAAGTGAATCGTCAAGGAGGTTCCATGGTCCCTGCAAAGAAACTAGAAAGTAAACTAATTCGTCAAGGAGGTTCTATGGCCCCTTCCATGGTTCCTGCAAGAGAACTAAAAATCTTCCATTCTGAGGATAGTAAAAAGTGGGCTTGGAGTTTTATTAACGAAGCGCCAAAGTAAGTACATTTTTAATGGAATCTAGATTTTATCTCTTAAATGACAATCATATGAAAACACAAAAACAAACTTTTGGCAAAAACACTGTAGCTAGCCTTGGCTGGGCTTGTAATAAAATTACACTTCTCATGCATTAAATAGAAAACCCTTTTGGCAAAAAAAAAAACAAAAACAAAAACAGTTTAAAATCAAGTTGTTTTGGTCATATAACTAAAGAAATTGTGATACAATTTACACACCATCTTATTCTAAAAGAAAACTAGTTTTGATGTGGTCTTTTTTTATTGGTCGTCAATGATTTTGATTTATCTATATGTTTTCAGCTCTGCGCCTCATGAAATTGCAACGATGATTAAAATTTACTGGCTAAAAATAATCGGAACTATTGAGACGAGTGATCTGATACCAGGAACAAAGTACGAGGCGGTTTTCCTAGTGAAACTAGAAGATGGTGCGATTGGATGGGAGCAACCAGTGACTCTGAAGCTAAAGGTGGAACAACACGATGGGAGCGACAACCGGGTGGATCGGATTGAGAACTTGAAGGATTACATAGGCCACGACTGGGTGGATATTCTGGCCGGAGTTTTCGTGGTGCCGCCAAGAAACAAGCCGGCAAAGATTACTTTCACCATGTACCAGTACATGACCGATGATCGGAAAAAGGGTCTTGTCGTCAAAGGTGTTGCCATTCGTCCCACCAACTTATAATGCGGACAAGCAAAGCATATTGGGATCTTTCTTATTGTCTAATATTTTTATTTGATTCGAAATAAAATAAAACGCATGCATGTCTTTTTCTGGTAAAAAGTGTTTGCCATGTATTAGAAATTAATGTGTCCATAAAAAATGTACTTATAAGATTGGGAGATGACTAGTACTCTCTCAAAGCCAAGCTATAGACCATGATATTTAACAAAGATAATGTAGAGATATTTTAACAGGAAAAACTTAGAAGAAATTTAAACAATAGTATACAAATATTTACAACCCATATGTTAAACAAAGTGTTTCGTCAATGTCTCTTAGTCTCTAATATATTATTTATATCAGACTCATATCTCACTTCTAATGTGAGGTGTATATATATATATATGTATATATTTCTTAAGCCTAAGATATTAAAGGATATAGTGATCATATGAAATATTCATCGACACAAGATCACGTAAAACTTTGGTTTTTAACTGCATGCACAATTAAAGTCTATACATCTTTTTGAAATAATTAATAAGTACTAGAACGAGTCACAAATCACAAATCACAATATATGCTGGCTGGCTAGACCAAGGTGTTTCTTCATTTTTACTTCGTCATATTCCCCCTATTTATGCTATCCATCCAGTTGTAAAACGATATAAATGATTGGAGATCGTCTCAATCCTTTCAATCACGTTAGTAATCCCAAGGACTAGAGTCGTACGTACTATATCCCAAATAAATGTCATTTTAAAAGAAATAAATAAGTTGAAGATGTATACTGAATTTAAGTTGGCCCCGAGTTTTAGAATTTCAATTTTTTTGTGGGTTTACAACAAATAAATAAGTTTGGGTAGTCGATCGAAGATGAAATCTTTTTTGATGGATCCATATTCGCTAGTAATAGTTGTTTGCATCTAGAAGAGATTGAGGTAGACTAGCTAGATTGAGGGAGTACACAAAAACATGAAGCTGATCTTATTTTGTATTCGTTGTTCTTTTAAAATGAAGTGTAATGTGTTTAAACTTCTTTCTTAGAATTAAAAATAAGATATTGAAAAATCTTGGCATCTCTGAATCAAGTGGTTAAAGCATAGAATTTTTTTATTTTGGAAAACAAAACTTTATTAATAAAAAAATTATATCGTCGTGATTCATGAAATAAAAGAGAACTTGGCTCGATTCTTGTCTCACAGCGTTCAAGAGCTCAGTTTTAAATGATATGAAGTTATGACCAAGTCCAGTTATCTTTTATTCTTCGCAGTTGCAATTTTTAAATTCGACACTTGGATTATATGATTAGTCAATGGAAAGACTTAATGAATTGGGGAGGTCTTTGAACACCTGGATTATAATTGAAGGAAGGACTTTAGGAAGTAGACCCATGCAACCAATCAAAACTAATACCTTGTATCATTTACTATATACATATATTAGATTCTAATAAAACTCGGTTTTGTAATCAAATAATATTAGTTTTTATATGCATGTTGTACTGAATCGAGCTCAAATCCTCAGCTCCGGTTTCAGCTTGTTGAACCTAATCGATATGAAACGAAGAACAAAACGGAGATAGAAGAAGAGAAGAAAGTACACAGGCAAGATTTGATAATCCAGGGTTCACTTCTAAGACGGCCATAGCTACATCCCTGAGGCTTGACGGCACGAGCAGATGGTTTATTGTTTTGAAAATCTATTACATATATGTTTAAAATTTTAACAAAAATTAATTTAGAATTTTATATAATACTTTCAATTTAATTGTAATTGTATTCAATATTTTAATTTTTTTTTTTAAATTCAGATATTCTGAAATTAATCTTCTCTCTAGAAGATAGGCAGTCGTTACCAATACCATGGTATCACTCTCACCACAATAAGTTACTGAAATTCTAAAATTAAGGCTTGTAGCTGCACGGGTTTTATTTGACATAATATTTTTATAAATATATTTATATTGATATATATATATGTAATTAATTATAAGAATATGATAATTTGTTTGATTGTTTGATTGTTTGATATTAGTTTATACTAAAACAAAATCTTTATTAAACAAATATTTTTTTCTACGATTAGAAGATTAGAAGTAGAGTAAGTATAAAAATTATTTTATCATTTTAGAAATTATAAACATGATATATATGATATGAGTAAAAAAAAAACATAGATAAAAGCCACATTTTTTTGTGTTGAATTGCTTGAAAATATATAATTAAGACTTAGGTTTTCGTAAGCTTAGAGATAACCTGCAGAATAATGAAATTGTGTTTTTAAACATGATTTCGAAAGCTTTTCACAATCTCTATAAACCGATTTAACATATTTTTAGAGCAAACCCCAAGATCATAAAATCAAATTTAATTTTTTTTTTAGTGAGATAGAATTTTTCTAGCAGAAATTCGAAATTAAAATTATAAACAACATTTTTAAACCCTAAATTTATATATTTTTTCAAATGAAAAGTTGAAAAGACGAAGAAGATGAAAAAATATAATTGAAAATATAGATGTTTTTTAAAAAAAGAACTATTGTAATTTTTTAGATGAAATTTATACTTAATAAATTGAAAATTAGAATAAATGTTATTAAATTTATTTTTAGAATAGACACTTGTTAACCTCTGTGAAATGCTGATGTAGGAAAAGTAAAAATGGTTTTTCTCAAGATCAAACCGGTAATCGGTTAAAAGTTAAAACGTCAAGAAACAAAAAATAAGAAAAAAGGAAAAAGAAAAGAAAGAATGTGAGACGCCAATTCCAACGTCATCCATCGAGATGAGTCTTCTTCTCCCTTGTGCCTCTGCTCGTAGCTGCAACCTACTTTGTTCCCCTAACAAGGTTCTCTCGCTCCCTATACTTCTCTCTCTTTCTCTTTACATTTTGGTAGATATGGGTTTTTAATACATGACGATGAGATTTTATACATACGTATTCCTGGAAAGGGCAATGGAGGACAAAAAGAATGGAAATTTCCAGTTCCTGTACACCACAAAGATTTTGAATTTCTGATAAAGAAGTTAGCTCCGCCTCTCACGGCGGTTCTACTCGCGGTGTCGCCGATTTGTTACCCTCCAGGTAACTCAAAGCTTCCAGATTCAGAGTTTATTATTTCATTTTGGTTGAGACATTGCAGAACAATTCTTCTCTCAAGGCATTTGTATGCTCACTCAATGGTTTATTATCAGTCTCTGTTTGTGTCTGATTTGTTGTTTCATTCAAGAAAGTTTCTTGTTGAAACTAGGTGATATGGAATCTGAAATCTTACTCTGAATCCGGATTCTGACTAAATCAGTGTAGTCAATGTATCGTTGAGCAAGCAAACTGGAATAGGAACATAAGAGAATGAAAAGCCTTGAATGTTATTCATGAAAGTTTCTTGCTTTTGTGGGTCTTGTGTGGTGTAGAATCTCTTGGGCAAACTTTGGATATACAAAGAGGAGCAACTTTGTTTAATAGAGCTTGTATTGGGTGTCATGATACAGGTGGAAACATTATTCAACCAGTGAGTTTAACATTATAACATTTTTCAGTAGAGCTTCTTGTGTAATCTTTCATTTCTCTAGGAGTAAATAAGCTCATATTCTTCTCTTTCCAGGGCGCAACGCTTTTCACTAGCGACCTCCAGAGGTAAAATAACCAATGCTCTACGCTCAAAGAGCCGTGTCTTGTGTGCATTTATCAGATTAGTAGTTAAGATTCACAATGGCTTTTTTTAATACAGAAATGGAGTTGATACCGAAGAGGAGATATATCGTGTTACATACTACGGAAAGGGAAGAATGCCAGTGAGATCTCCTTCAAGAGCTTCCTTATATAAAATGATAATTCACTTCCACTTGACTATATTATCTGATAAGGTAAATGTCTGATGATTTACTTCAGGGATTTGGGGAGAAATGCACGCCGAGAGGACAATGTACTTTTGGACCGCGGTTACAGGACGAAGAAATCAAGCTTCTGGCTGAATTTGTGAAGTTTCAGGCTGACCAAGGTTGGCCAAATGTATCTACAGACTAGCAAGTAGCAACAAAGATTAGTACAGTTCAATTTGGTTGGTTGAGTTCGAGTTTGCAGCATTAGTTTGATGTCACATTATGTCTAAAGCTCAATGTATGCTGTTAAATATTATGAGATTTGGAAGGCTTCATTGATAATGCTCCAAGATGTTCCTGAGGTACAACAAAATCATAGGTGTCCATAATCCACCAACACATATCTGTCTTAACTTTTGACTATCCTTTGACATTAGCCATTACATATATGCTGCTATTCTCAATAATTTTCCACTGGAGAAAAATGCAGTGGAAAAAGAATAGTGATGTTGTTACTGTCTCATGAGTGAAACTGTGAGAGAGCAAGCATCTTGACTCTTTTATGGTTCTTGAGAACCATCCGATGAGTCACTCCGCTTTCTTTTCTTTGCATCTGATTCACCTAACTGCAACGAAAAGTTAATCTCATCACCCGAGCCACTAGTCTTAAGAGAAGACAGGTTCTTGGATTCGAGTTTCTCTGTTCCAATAGTTTTCTGATGGGGTGGAGATCTGTTGTTGCTTGAACTTGGAATGAACTGATGTTCTTCAACCACGGCCGCTGATTCTAACACGTCCTCTATTTGGAACTCTGGTTGAATGTTCGAGTTGTCTTCTTCTCTAAGAACTTGCTGGACATTCAAGTTAATTGGCTCAAAGTTCTCACCTGTTTTACACCTGGAAAACTTGCACTCACTCGGGGATGATTCCACGATCATGGAATCAACTCCTGCACACATAATACCGTTTCTCTGTTCTTGCACCGCGGCTGCACTAAGCAAAAGAGACATTGAACTAAGCAGTGTATACAAAAAGTCATGAAAGAAAGAACGTGAAGAGATCACACAGACCTTGAAGGCCTTCATTGGAAGTGATGAGATCAAGCTCAAGAAGGTTAAGAACTCTGCCAAGATCAACACCACTTGTCCAATTCTCTGGTTGTTCCCCAACTTTTAGCTTTAACCGTCCCCGGTTAGCTGTTCCTCCCCAAATGATTCCAACAGGACGTGGCTTCTCATTCTTCTCATCATCTCCAGCTGCCAACAGTATAAGGCTCCCACTATCACCCTCGAGATCAAACGTCTGTTGGTTTTCACCAACAACAAGAAAATCAGTGAGGAAACAAATCCCTTTCTCGTCATTGTATTCCAACGCGTAAGCCATTATGGTCCCGGTGGTCAAACCAGAGCTTCTTCCAACTTTGACAACTCTTCTTCCTATTAGACTGTTCACTGGAGACTGAAGATCAGTAACATGGATATCACCGATCTCACCAATGCCTTTGACAGTTGTGGTTACATTGTTCATATTAAAGTCCTCAGCGAATGGAATAAAGGCTCCATCAGCTCGAACAAATGTTTCTGCAGAAAATGAAAAAAATAAATAAACAGCAATGAGAATGTGCTACGCCATTAGACTACAACACCAAAGTTATTATATGCTTTGTTACCGGACTACCTGGGTTAGTTCCAGCGAAAATGCCATACCAAAGGTCATCGGTAATGAATGAAGTTGCTCTTTCCACTGCACCTAAGTAGACTCCTGGTCCGAGGCTAGGTGGCAATGGATGAAACATTTTCTGGCTTGGGTAGTCTAAATCAACTGCAACATGGCGGTTTGTTAGGAAACCAACTTGTCTGATGCCGGTTTTACTCTTTACAATAGCACCCAAGGTTCCATATGTCTCTTGGCTAGCCACCTACAAGAAGACAGGTATCTCTGGATAATGTTCTGTAATAAAAATGTTGAATAAATGCAGACATGAAAGCAAGTTTAGTACATAAATTACCTGTGAACCAGATCCGATAGACGAACCACTGCCTCTCAGATCATCAACAAGCTCTGTATACACCTGCTCTTTAGGCGTTTGCGCAGGTGCACCATAATATTGAAACTCAACAACATCTACGTCACACCACACTCCTCCAGGACCCTGTCAAAGTAAGATACTTTATGATTACAAAAAGTAAAGATAAGACCCACAAAGAATCATAAGCAAGAGATGATGACTCACCTCCAAGGCTGTAGGTAAACACTGAAGAGGATTAAGCCATTGCTTGTGAACTTTCCGAGCAACAAAGACAAGAATAGCCGCAATATTTGTCAAAACACCTCGCCGGATCCGAAAACCAATAGCTGTGCCGAGGCTAAACCTCCGTAGATTCTTACTATGAAACGCTCTGATCATCATCAACTCAAGCAATGTAGTAGCTTTCTTCCCCGTAGGCAAACCATCGAAAGTTTCAGGCAAAACACCTTTCTGAAGGTTTGCGAAGTAGTTTGCTCTGTCTTCAGCTGAATCGTTTAATCGACTTGAAGTAGGCCAAGAGAAGTAAGCAGCAGCAGCACTGGTTTCAGGATGCTGACCGCCAGATGGAAACGGTTGAAGCGGCGGTGAAGACGCCGTTTTGAAATGATTGCAGCCGTTTTTATCCAAATCAAATGCAGATTCCACGGATTGTGATGATGTAGAGTGATGAAATCTAAGATCCAATCTTTTACCTTCCATTTTTTAACCTCTGCTGCTAAATTGAATCATGTACATTAGTTAAAAAGACTCAAAATTTAATAGAAATGAACAAGAACACAGCTCATCACATCACTCCGGACCAAACATAAAATGAAGAAATCGAATTTAAGAACACAACCAAGCTTTTCTCATCAATGAAATTTTACCCCATCTAAAAAGGTTAAAGCTTTGTTTGGAAATCATGAGCTAGAGTGAAAATCATTATAAGCCCAGAAAAGGTTACATGAAAAAGCTTCGAGAGAAGCAAACGAGAGCAATTAAGCAAAATCCAAAGGGATATTACGGATTTCGGGTTATCTTCGATACAGAGAGAGAAATACTAACCGATCAGTAGTGTTAGAGCTTTCTCATGCTTCGCGATGATCGAATACAAACGGATTTGGGAAGAAGTGTAATAATAGAGAGGACCCAAGAAAGAACTCCGTTTGGCTTGAGAGTGGAAGACGAAGACTTTCTTTTTTTTTATCTCAAAACAAAATTGAAGGAAAGTGCGACTCTTTTTTTTTTTTTTGTCGACAAGTGCGACTCTTTTTGTTTGCCATTATATATTTTTACTTTCTGTTTATTTTTATAGTTTTTTATCAATTATGTATATTTTAGTTGAATTTAAATTTTTTTAAAATGGCTATAAAATGACTATTGACTGCTTTCAAGAAGAACACCGAATCGATAAATTCACCGAATTTCAAGATGATTAACTCATTAAGTCATTAAACCTTTCTTAACTTCTGGCTCTCTAACAAAAACCAGATTTTTGTTTTTCATCAAAGAAAGTAGATACTTGTAGATTTCATTTATAATTCCTGAAAGAAGCCATTTGTCCACACTAGCAAATCAAGAAATGGATGAAAGATTCAAAAGAGATTCAATAATGTTTCTTTTCGTACAACTTATCTTCAAAATGGTGTGATCACACTTAGGCGTCACTAAGTGTGCATTCATATTCACACTCTCTCTTTCTCGTTGTCATCTTTGACCAACGAAGACTTTAACAAAAGCGTTTCAAAGTGTTTCAAAATATAGATTAATCTCAAAACATACAATCACTTAGCAAAATGTAGAACACACCATGACTTGCAACATTTACACACACAAACACACACAAGTATTGACTTTCAAACAGAAACAGAAAAAAAAAGACTGTTGCTTTTAGGACAGGTGATAAAACATAGACCTTTGATGTTTTTGGTATTTTACGAGGAGAATCTGTCGCGGTCGTGAGGCGAAGAGTAGTCAATATTCGGCCCCTGCGGAATGATCCCAAACGGGTTTATCGTAGGGTGGCTTCCGTAGTAATGTTGCTTAATGTGATCCATTTTCACAGTGCTACTCATTCCATTGATTTGGTAGATATCTTTTATGTAGTTGAAGATATTCGGATACTCCCTTAAGAGTCTCTTGTTGCATTTGAAGTGAACCGCGTAAACCTGCAACGCAAAGAAAAGAAGAAGATAATGTCAAGAATCTGATGAGCTTTTTATGTATTGGAAACAAAAGAAGAAATGTCGATTCAAAATACCTCATCAAATCTTATGAGAGTGACGAATAGTCGGATATCTGCTTCAGTGAAAGTGTTTCCGCAGATGTATCTTTGTTTCCCGAGTATTGCCTCACATCTATCTACTGCTTCATACAACTGGTTCACTGCCTGCAGAGAGAAAGAACCAACTTTCAGAATCAATTAGCTATTCTGGTTCTTTTTCCGTTGTATAGGAATAAACATTGAGGATCTTGTACCTCATCGTAAGGTTCTTGTTTCCTAGCAAACCCACATCTATAAACACCGTTGTTTATCCCGTTGAAAACCCATTCATTAGTCTCGTCGATTGTGTCTCTAAGATGAGAAGGATAAAGGTCAAGTGACGGGTTTTTTGCAATACTATTGAACTCGGTGTTGAACATCCGAATTATCTCTGAACTCTCGTTGTTAACCACAGTCTTAAGCTTCTTATCCCACAGAATCTGCCATAAGCAGAACCGAAAAATTCAAGAAACACAACAGGAGTCTAAGACAAGAAAAGGTCACCAAGAGATAAAAAAAAACTTACAGGAACAGTGTACTTCCCTTCATAATTGGGGCTAGCAATCTCATAGAGATCTCTCACAGTCTTGGCACCATTTAGATAATCAGGCTCAGCTCCAGGGAGCTCAGTATCTGAATCCGGGAAAACCCATCCTCTATGATCATCAGTTTCCTTGGTTCTTCCCCAAATTGTGTGAACCGACTAATCAAAATCAAATAAAAACCAATGCTTTAACTTAAGTCAAGAAAGTTAACAGTCTAATTTGATACTGAAACTGATTAATACTGACCGAGAAGCTGATTGCTTCATCAAGACCTTTGATCTTAAGGTAAGAGAGACATCTACAAGCCCATGGACAAGCATAGGATATGTAAAGATGGTATCTTCCTGATTCAGCTGGAAACTGAGAATCAGGATCTTGAGACACAAAGTTGCGGAACGTTGATGCCGTTCTTACAAAAGCTCCAGATTCTGATGTCTCATCAACCCCAGACCTAGCCATTTCTTGCTACATAATGAAACACAATCAAAAAGATGATTCCTTTTTAAAACTCTTCGTGAAAATTCACATGACCAAACCCAATTTTCCCTAAAGAAAAATGAATCATAATTTTATAGTAAATCATTAGACCCTAAGACCAGTCGCAATCGAACCTATTTGGGAGATTTCAAATGTTGATTTCCCCACTGAAGAAATATCCGGATCGAACCCAAAACTCAGTATAACTCTACCAAGATCCATGATTCATGAAAGCCAGGAGAATGGAGAAACCTGATCACGATGATGTTTTGTGATTGGAGGCAAGATCCGGAAGATAAAAGGAAATGTCGCTGTTGTTGAAATTTTTTTTTTTTGGCGATAAAGGGATTTAAAAAAGTCAGCTTTTTATTGACGATGCTAAGCTGCTATCGATCGATGGATGTGTTTTTATAGTGGAGGAGAATTAGCGAAAAGAGAAGAAGGAAGAAAACGACTTTTGCACTTTGTCCTGTCACTCGTCATTGCTTTTGTCACGCCTAACGAGTTAACTCAGTTCTGGGAAAAGCGTGAAAACTTTTGGACCGTTTGTGCGTCATGCACCGGGTCAAGAATATGAGGCTTTTGGACCGGTTTTGATTATAAATGGTTGAACCGGTGAAAAAGATAAGGAACAGATCACAGAACAAGAGTTCTGAAATAAAAACTAGTGAAGAATAATTTTTTGCAAATAATCTACATAAAACTTATTTTTCTGTTTAATAGATTTTTTATATCTTTTTAAATAAAATGCAAACTGTATTTTTTGTATTTATTGTTTTACTCTACAATTTTTTGTTAATTTACTAAATATCTGCGTAATCACATTTAAAAACACAATTCTGTCATGTCGCAGATTGCCAATCAAAGTTTAGTTATTTGTTTAAAAAAAACAATCAAACTATCTCGTTATTTGGAAAAATCTGACATATAAGACAGAACCATATCTATAGTTATCTAATCGGCGTATACACAAGTTTTTTCTCTATCACTTGATTAAACGCGGACGCTTAGAAAGTATTATAGAACAATATTTAAAACACAAGAAATCATAAAACCTTAAAATACAATATTTGTAGCATATTATTATTGACAGCTTGTTCTCTTTTCTCGTTATTTTAACACCTTTTTTTAAGAGTGATTGTAGTATATAACCATTTTTGTCTACAAAATTAGGTGTATAACAAAGTTTATTTGAAAATTAGTAAAATAGGAAAGAAAAAACAAATTTATCTCAAAAAACACATTTCCTAGTTTAAATAATTACAAAAATGCCATTAGTTTACAAACTGATTTTTTTATAGAATGAAATGATAACACTGTACATCATCTGATCTAAGTTACTGTTCATCTGATTCAAAAACAATTATTCATTACCAAAAACGTGTTGTTAACATGCTAACAATTATTATATTAACATGTTACCAATAATTATATGTTATATACTATTCGTTAACATATTTAACATGATAACAATTATATATGTTAACATGATAACAATAATATCTATATTTGTAACGTGCTAACAATAATATCCGATAATTATAACGTGATAACAAGAATATCTGATACTTATAACATGCTAATATATAGTAAATCTGAATATTATTTGTGTTAACTTTGTAATGATAACTTTGTTAAGATAATATTTATGTTAACTTTCAATTTATACAATATATTTACGAATAATAATTGCAAAGTTAACATGATAACTTTGTTAGAGACATTAACAGCACATGAAGACGAATGTACTAAAGAGATTTGTGAAAAGATGAGACTTGTGGTACTCTTTTTTTGTGTTTTGTTGATTGTTCTAATCTTAAAATTTGTAATGGTTCATTCGGTGGTATAAATTTTTATTTGTTATAGAGAAGAAAATTAGAAAGAGAGAGAAAGATAGATATTAAGAAAGGAGTGTTGAGTAAATTCTCATTTAAAAACACTGTAGAAAAAGGTGTCAGAAAGTGTCACCTAATTTTGACATTATCCATGGTCATTTAGTGGTAATACTCTTTTTTTAATAGATTTTATAGATATAGAAAAATATTCTCAAAAATGAAAGCCTGAAAGCTGAATGATAAAATAGATTTCAAAACCTAAAAGATAGTATATTATTCATCATAAGTAATTATATAGTAGCTTAAAAATCATAATGTACGGGAAACGAATTTTACCTAAGTGAGTAGAGCCATAGCTTGTCCTAACTCATCAAACATATGTTTGGAGCATTTGAATTTATAATTTTTTTAGAGAACCAATTTTTTCATAAATTTATTGGATTAAATAGTTTTGTAACGTGACAAATGATCAAAATCTCATATTTAATGCACCTAATTTTTTGATTATATGTGTGTTTAATAAGATATTTAAACGTTGGTATAAAAATTTGGGCAAATGCCTTACATTTAAAAAAAAAAAACAACAAAACTCTTAAGATATATTATATTTATATTTAGGGGCTTTTTTTATGGCATACATTTTTTTTTGTTCAAGGGGATGAGGTAGATGAAAACAGATATTGCAGACTATATAATTATAATTAATATATGATGCTACATGGACTCGATTTCAGTCCTTCAATAAATATTTTGGTGATAAAAACTTTGCTAATCCCATGGTGGTATTAAAAATAGAAGTTTGTGAAATGAACTTAAAGCTTTTTCAATTTTCAGCTAGTTGTAGAATGAACTTGTTTATGAAAAAAATATGAGTTTATTAACATGTGTGAAGAACAAAAGTATTTTAACAAATAAAAGTTACTGGTTTACATTTTTTTGGTCAGATAAGTTTGACAATTCAATTTTCATATATATTGGATTTGATAGTTTAGTAAAGTATTACGAATGATAAAAATTTTATGTTCAATATTAGTACACAAAATTTGTTATTTCTCTTTCTTCTATCTTTTTAAATTTCAGGGCTAAAAGATTTGATCTAAAAAAATCAGTGGCTATCGTTGTAATGACCTTTGCTGATTTTTTTAAAAAACAAAATCAAGCATGAAAGTGTGTGGGTAGTTTCTTATGGTGCTATTAATCTTATGTATTTTTATAGCCGATAATGGTTTTTTAATCAAACATATATATGGAGCCACCAATATGTCCAACATGTTTAGTGTTATAATAGATATATACAAACATATCTTTGTTATGATAGCTAAATTTAATATTATCTGTGAAATCAATCACTAATGAGAGCAATTTCCATTCATCTTTACTCCACAATATTTTAAAAGGTGGATCTTTGTTCACTAGCTTGCTTCGGGTTGGAAACTCTTGTTCATGTAGACGCTTGTCTGTGGTTTCATTGCCAAAGCTGATGCTTTCTTTACCATTACGATTTAGATTTAGATGGTAAGCGTCTCGACAGAAACGGAAAATGTTATTTTTTTGCAACATTTTTCTTTCTATTATTGTATAACTTGATTTTGGTAATTAAAAAATAGACCTTCCAAAGTCAGGATAAATACCTTCTTGTTATCGCTAATTATGTCACCAAAGAAAAAACGTAGGTGGTAGAAAAGATTTGTGGTTGTATATATCATAGAAATGCCCAAATAGTAATATATAAGTTGGTTTTTCCAGTTTTAGCTAGTTCCTTTTTCTTTTTGTTTAACCGTTGATGTAATCCATTCCAAATCAATAGTAATCAGTGATTGTGTTAAATAGAAGAATCTTGATTTTGGCAAAACTTATTATCAAGAAAATGAAGCATCATTTTATCCAAAAGAAGAAAATAAAGCACCGATATTTTTGCTTAAAAACGACTATAAAGGTCAAATATGACTTAAACCGCTAACATGACTTAAAACGATTACGTGAATAACTCACATTTTGCTTCACAGTGCCTAACGTAAAACCTCAAACATGACTTAAAACGCGAAAACACACACACACACACAAAAGGCAAATTTCACAATACAATGGAGTCTTCATGCTGTTTCTGTGGAGAATCTGTCTCGGTCATGAGGCAAAGAGTAATCAATGTTTAGTCCAAGAGCTATATAATCCCAAGAGGGTTTATAGAAGGAAAGCCTCCATAGTAGTTCTGCTTTGTATGATCCATCTTCACTGTTCTACTCATGAGTGATCAATCCCACTATTTGGAAGATATCTTTCATGTAATTAAAGAGACTCGTATTATACTCCCTTAGGAGTCTTTTATCGCATTTGAAGATCACCGCGTAAGCCTGCTACACAAGTTTCTAAAATACATATGGTAAACTGAACAAACCGTAGATATAAAACCCAAAACATATAAAAATCAAAGCTAAAAATACCTCGTGAAATCTTATGAGAGTGACAAATAACCCGATATATGGTTCAGTCAAAATGTTTCCACAGAGAAACTGTTGTTTTCCAAGTATTTCTTCACATTTTTCGAATGCATCAAACAATTGCTTCACTCAGAGCCATGCCTGAGCAGCTAATGAAGCATGTGCTTCAGGGCCGGAAGAATTAAATAATTTTTTGGGAACCAATTTTCCAGAATTTGAATTAGTCCAAGTGATTTGTGAATAGGTAAAAGTATATTTGGTTAGAAGTTTGTCTGGGTTCGATTCTTCCCAAGCGCAGACACGGCTCGGCTCTGGCTTCACTGCCTGTAAAGAAATTAAAAAAACTTCTTGGATTAAATTTCTAATTAGTAAACTGATAGTACATTGCAAAGTATCTTTACCTCATCGTATGCTTCTTGATTTGTAGCGAGACCACATTTATAAACACCGTTATTTATCCCATCGTGAATCCATTCGTTAGTCGCATCGAGTATGGATCGGAGATTCGGATGATAAAGGTCAAAGAGTAGGGTTTTCCGCATCACCATTGCACTCGGTGCTGAACATTCTAATTATCTCAGAGCTCTCATTGTTAGCTATAGTCTCAAGCTTCTTATCACGGTTCGCAATAGCTGGTTTAATTTTCAAGCCAGGACGCTTCAGAGCTATTGGAATATGTGCTGACGAAACTTGCTTCACACGCTACTCTAACTTGTTTCTCTTTGTTTTCTTCACCATGTAGGCTCTATCCACAAGGAACGGTTTACAATACCAGAACTTCTGAGTAAATCAATAGACGTCTTACACACACATTATGCGACACAACATCATCGCTGAAACCACAAATATCAAAAGAAAATTCACGACATCATCGGTGGGATCACTCGATTAATCCTCTATTTCCATCAAGATTCACGGCTCAATATCATACACCGAGTAACATTCTCTTAGATGCGGAAATGAACCCGAAAATGGCTGATCATGGAACCCAATTACAGGGCTTAGAGCCGAGACAATATACAAAACAAGTCTTTTGCTTGTTCTGTTGATGATACCAAAATAGCTGATGTTATATCCTCATTGAATATTCATCATTTTTGTTTTGAACAAGGCTTGACACTTGTTTTATGTCAAAATATGAAACCCTTTTGAGGGTCACTTTCAGTATGGAGGAATATTCAGCAAAGAAAACTCACTCTATAATTTTTTTCAGAGGATCTTCAATCATGGTATGGCTAAGCAGAAAATGTGCAGATAAGACATAACTTTAGTATTAGAGAGAAAAAAAATGAAGCAGAAGAGTCCTTTATCATATCCTCCTTACCGTCTCCTTGCTTCTAAGATAGTGATGGCCAAGCCAGCTTTAACAACAACTGTCTTGTTGCTTGAATGGCAAGTAATCGATAATAACAACAACTTTCTCCGTGATTGTGTTATGGTAAGCCGTATACTTTGGTTACTTCTGTAAGTACAGTATTTGGTGTGAAGATTTATAGCAAAACTGCAATATTAAAATCCCATTTACAGGTTTTTTTACTCTCTTCAACATGATTCAAATTTTCTTATTGATGACTGTGTAAAGTTTAATTCGGAGAAACAAGTCACTGTTATGCCTTCAAGAAGAACCGTGTAAATAGTATACATTTCATATATGATTGTGGCTACAATTACAATACAAACAGCTATAACGAAACAAGTTTCCAAATCGTTTTCAACACCTGCTAATTAAGGAATCAAGCATGAAGGTAAAAAGATATTCATCTTTAACGAGCATATACTTCTGTGATCGAGGCATCATCAACAGACCCTACAAGAGACTTGGTCGTTGTAAATTGGTCTGTATCAAGCGGGTCTCTTCTGGATCTACTCTGAAAAGAATAACCTGGTTGTCTAGGCATGGGTAATGTCACAGTATTACTAGTGAGCATCAGAACAATGGTTGACAAGGTCGGACGATCTACAGGATCTTCTTGAACGCACAAAAGACCGACATGGACACATCGAACAACTTCATTCCTTTGGCAATTATGTACAGTAGTTGGATCCACGAGGTCTAGCGGTGTCCCATTACTCCAAAGCCTCCACGCCTAGAATATTAATCAATATAATCAATCAACACTTACAACCATGGTCAGGTAAATATGGAACTTGAATAAACTTGATTGGTTCAAAAACTTACATATGAGACCAAGTCATGTGCACCGTCTGGTTGGTAGAAGCTGCTATTCTTCTTGCCGCTTATAATCTCAAGAACTAACACTCCGAAGCTATAGACATCAGATTTCATTGAGTACCGACCATGCATTGCATACTCGGGAGACATGTAACCACTGAAACTTACGACAAAATTAAACTATGTTGGCAAAAGAAACTTTACCAAACTTCTAACTTACAAGAAGTTAAAAGGAAGACGTACTAGGTACCAACTATTCTGCTTGTGTTCTCCTGGGTTTGGTCCAATCCAAAGATCCTAGCCATTCCAAAATCTGCAATTTTAGGATTCATATCTGCATCCAAGAGAATGTTACTCGCTTTCAGGTCACGATGTATGATTGTGAGTCGTGAATCTTGATGGAGATACAGAATCCCTCTAGCAACTCCTCCAATAATCTTGTATCGTCGAGTCCAGTCCAGCTGAGCTTGCTTTGCAGGGTCTGTGGTATATTACAGTTAGCTTTAACAAGTTACATATCCCCACGTATTAAACAAAGCATTAGATGCATGCAACTCACCAAACAAGAAGTAATCAAGGCTTTTGTTGGGCACATAGACGTAGACGAGTACCCTTTCTTTTCCTTGTAGACAAAATCCGAGAATTCTTACTAGATTTCTATGTAGTAGCTTTGCAACCAGAACAACCTCGTTCTTAAACTCTGCATCACCTTGTCCTGATAATTTTGACAGTCTCTTCACCGCAACTTCAGTCCCATCCAATAATGTACCCTGTTAATTTCATCAGCATCCTCCTTTTATCAAAAAATGTGTTGGCACAAAATTTCAAGAGAAAAACATAGCTCAAGACAGTATAGGAACAATAGTTACCTTGTAAACCTCACCAAATCCACCTTGACCAATCTTATTACTCTCTGCAAAATCATTTGTTGCAGTTTGAATTTTTCTATAATCTAGCTGCAGCGAGTCTGCGGTTGTTATATCATCTCCTGGTGCACAATGATAGTCTTAGAAGCAGGAAAAAGAATTTGAGCACTGATATTAGTCAAAAAATCAAAATTAAGGATTGTTCATCACTTGAAATCTATACCATCGAATGCAGATGATGTCCCGTAAATCTTCTTTGCCCTATTTGCAAGGAAACGATAAGCAGCTATGACAAGCAAAACAGCCACTATAACAGGCACAACAATGGCTACCACTAACACAGTTGAATTCCCACGTTTTCCTGTTTTTTCAAAAATTAACCAATGGCAGACGAATAACAAATCAAAATTCTGTCGAGAGAACATAACTTTTCTATCTTAGAAATGCTAAGTTCGAGAGATAGGGGAAAAAAACAGAGGAAGAACACATATCAGATAAAGGTAGAAAGATAACAAATCAAAATCTGTCGAAAGGACAAAACTTTCTATATTGGTATTGTTAATTTGGTAAAATTAATGCTAATTTCGAGAGATAGGAGCAAAAAAGAGAGGAAGAACACAGATCAGATAAAGGTAGAAAGATAACAAATCAAAATCTGTCGAAAAGAAGAAACTTTCTATATTGGTATTGTTAATTTGGAAAAATTAATGCTATGTTCTGAAAAATGAGAAACAGAGGAAGAAGACGAGAAACAGAGGAAGAAGACAGAGCTCTGACCAGATGGCGGAGGAGCTGACACCGGAGGAGTGTTAACCGCCGGTGGTGGTGTTCCAACGGCGGATTCGTTGTAGAACGCGTAAAGCTCGAATCTTGAGTTACAGCTCGGCACTATAAGTCTTCCCCCAATTTTGTGAGTGGGCAAATGATTGATGATTTGTTGCAGACAGGTCCAGCAGTCTTGTCTCGTCAGATCAGGAGTGCACTGAACCATTCCGTACACACTCTGGAACGCAGTCCAATTGGACTTTACCGTAGAGAACTTTTTAGAACTGCTCGCGGCTTCAGCGGAAGCTCGGTTCATCGTGGACAAGACCAAATCTCTGAACCCTGTTTGGTTTGATGTAACATTCTGGTTGTTTATCCAGATAAATTCTCTATTAGCACTCAGGGTCGAGAGAATATTCCGGTTAGAGTATCGGAGCATACACTCATCGTAATACAGTGTGACTTCTCTCTGATTCGGACACCAATTTAAGGTGTCGTTAACGGCAAAGTCGACGCAGGTGCGGCAAACTTCCAGCGACAAGTCACCACGGCAAAGGAAAAGTCCGGTGACTCTGTCCGGGGCTTGTCCGGCGGTGGCGTTCTGAAATCCGGTGGAGTAGGATGCGTTGCGGGAAGAGAGACAGGACAAAAGGGTTCTGAGATTGGTGAAGTAAGTACTGTTTCTGGAGAAAGTTGTGGTATTCGGACATATGTGGTGTCTGTAATAGGGATCTTGAGCAGAAACTCTGAAGCTAGTGAGAAAGGAGAAAAAGAAGAGGAAGATGAAAACGGCGCATGAAGACATACTGTAATTGGGTTTTCCTTGATTTTTGTTTCTCGTTAAGCTTTGGGAAACTTTGATATATGATATAATATATTGATGTCTTGTTCTCTCTGTGACTATAGATTATTAGCGTGAAACAGAGGATGGTTTTGTGACCAATAGTATTAACGACAAGTCAAGGTCAAAGTAAATGTGTCTTGTATTGCTAGGCTTGGGCACGGAAGAGATATATTGAAAAAAATTAAGTATTCATGATTATGTACTTATATTATGTACTTTGTGGGGATAGAGAGCAAACATGAGTTATACTACTGCCTCTATTTCTATCATTACTCTAGAATTCCGTGTTTCAGGATCGAATACTGAGATCACCGTTACACACTCACTGCAATTCTTTGATAGATCAAATCAGTTGACGAAATTTCCATTATGTTACCATGTTTCTCTAGCTTTCTTTATTCTTGTGAGTGTTTTTAGATATCAATGGTGAACCCCTTCTTTTTCCTTGGTCCAGCCTTTTTCCTACGCTTGACTCAACAGAAAATTACACACTAGAGAAAACTGATTTACGTTAGATTTTGACTTTTGACTTCCGTTTTACTTCCGTATATACAGGTTTAAGTACCATTCTTCGACGATTTTCTTTCTAATAGGTCAGTCAAAGTTCAGGGCTTTTCATATTCTCCTTTTTCTCTAGGTTTTAGAATTTTTCCTCCAATATTTTTATTTTGTGCTTAGTGTTATAACTTTTTTGTATTTGAATTGATTTTTCAATAAAATGTCTTATTTGATATTTTGGATATCATATTGTAAATATTGTAATTTGATAATCGTTTTATAGTTTTCATAATATTCATATTTTAGGACTATAAAGAATTATCAATGTTTTCTTTTTTCTATCCATCCTTCAAATGTGTTTTAAATCTTTTTGAGCGTTATAACATGAATCCCATATGTTTTACGCTAAGTCTAGTGGACACGGAGCACCAGATATGTATTCGGAAAGTTTCTTCAAAACTCTTAGATGATCTATAGATATCGAGAGCAAACAACATAACCAAATTAAGTGGTCTCAACAATAACCAGCAAGTATATTGAATTAGAGTAAAAACATCGACTAAAAATGTGTATTAAGAATGATAATTCACATTTTGTGCTACTTTTCAATATTTTCCAATCCCCAATTAACCTTCTTCCAGTTAAGTACGTATCTGCTTTCTTTATGGCGTACAACCATGTAAATACATCATCAAGCATGAAAGGCTAACAGGATTCTAAAACTTCTAGAAACTTTTCGTCGGATGAGGTCTTCCTTAAACTAATTCATTCTCATGAGGAAAGAGCATGTCGCTTACGTAGCCGCCAAGCCATGGATCCATGGTCTCTGACCTAATCTCCCAATTCGGATCAAACGCTTCCCATGGCAGACTCTTGAGATCTTCCACCGAAACACCTAAATCCTCAAGTGTCACGTGTCCATTGCCCTTATTACTGTTACTAGTATTCTCACCGACAGTCTCGTCCTCCTGGCTTAAATCAATGAAATTATCATGATGATGAATTGATGATAGTAATCTCTCATCATCCTCCTCCTTCTTCGTCGTCTCTGTCTCGTGAAGATTAGTAGTAGAATAAGAAAAACAAGAGTCCAGAGGAGACATGATGTCTCTGACGTAGCCTCCAAGCCATGGATCCATGGTCTCTGACCTAATCTCCCGTGTCGGATCACACGCTTCCCATGGCAGACTCTTGAGATCTTGAACCCTAACATCCAACTCCCCAAGCGCCACGTGTCCATATCCCATACGATTAATGAAATTATCATGTTGACTTAATAATGATGAGATTATCTCATCGTCCTTCTTCTTCGTCTCGTAAAGATCAGTAGAAGAAGAGAAGCAAGAATCCACTCTTGAATCAGCGTCATTGTCCTCCTTCGCCTTCTGTAACCCCTTGACCACGCAACTTAGTTTGTCGAAAGCGTTAACGTCGTCCCACCAAGACCCTAATCTTTGCTTCTTCTTCTTCGGCTCTAGGGTTTCCTCCTCCTCTAGTGTGACCAAAGAGTTAAATGTCGGAGAATCTAGGTTAGTCTTCGGCTCTAGGGTTTCGTCCTCGTCGTCGTCGATGATGATGATTGCATCAGTAGACGACGGTGTTGATCCCAAGGAGTTGAATGTCTGAGGAACGAGGTAGCAATTGGTGAGATCCATCTGCGAGTCCATGTTTCGTTTCGTGCAAAACACTGAACCAAAGATGAATTTAAGAAAAGAATCGTAGAGAAATATAATCGAATTGAGAGAGACTATGAAAAAGCTAAGTTCTCAATCTGGCTTTTGGTGGTTTAATCAAAGCGTATGTGCTCTTTAGTTTATATAAACAGGAAGTGTGGTGGAAAAAAGGAAAACGAAACTTAAACAAAAAGGAAATTGTTTTCTCAGATAAGGAAATTAAAGGAAATTTCTTATTCTGTATTGTGTTTCTGATCAGATAAATAAAAAGGGAAATTGTTAATTTTCTCAGAGTAAAAAGGAGAAAAAGTTTCAGGGAGGTTTGTTTCGGTCCAAAAAGCCACAAAATCTACAAGGCCTAAAAATAAATAAGTTAGTGGAGTTTTACGGTATATCTTAGTACAACAATGTTGGCTATAATTAAATAATCCCACATCGGAAAAACTTTAAGATTTAATCATGTATATAAATTGAACGAGTTATTGTATTACACACCCACTGGCTTTGGCGAGTTAGCTAGCTTCTTGTGATTCTCATGTACCCTTTGAACCCAATAGGGTACGTTCAAACTTCAACCAGGGAATATATGATGATTCTTCAACGGGAAGAGAACTAAAGCCAGTTGGTTTTTGCCCTTTTGAAGTTCCAATTGAGAAACTCAATCAAAACGAAATCCAAATCCAAATGTTTAAAGAATCCAAACAGGAGTAAGATGGTCAAATGCAAAATTCATAAACATAATGCTTAGGTGCATGTCAATAGAGTAGAACCTGCTTCTGGGAGAAAGCTTTGTGGATGTAAGTAGCTTCTTGTAGCTCTCTTGCTTTGTTATAGAAGGATTACTGAAAATAATTCACTAGTTTACCCGGTTTCCTCCCTCATTATCAGTTTTTTTTTTATTAATTTTAACATACTTAAGAGTCGATGATTAACACAGAGATGCTTTTTTAAAGATGATTTTTTTTTTTGCTTCTTTGAAACCTGGAATGTCCCGAAAACACACAAAAAAAAATATAATCTGAGCTTAATTAAAACAGCATCAAATCAAAATTTAATAAATCTGATAAGTGGAGATTTTGACTCTAACCCGTTTTACTAATCATTTTAGGACTCTTTAAAGTCTTTTTCAGGTGATTTCAGGTGATTAGAAGACTTTAGCAGATGATTGGAGTGTCTGGAAGGCATTGGAGCAAAAAAGGAGCTGAAGCTGAGCAGAAGGGGCCAAAATCATATGCAGTTGGAAAAATATTATGCGGAGTACCTGCTCCCGATTTCGTCATTCCGTGGAGCACCTGCTCCAATCTTTGAAGAAAAATAAGGAAACAAATTTACCTAGCTCCAAGTCGCGTGAAAGAGAATAAAAGACCAGAGCCGCCTACTTATGATACAAACGCTTTCTTTTACATTTTTCTAGATTCGAGAGAGTTTTGCTTGTAAGCTTTTGGGAGAAGAATTCCTGCTACGTTTGAGAAGAATTCTGAACCCACTCGTTATCTCAGAGTTTATTTCATGAATTCCTTTTCATTCTGTGCTTTTGTTCTTTTTGCCATGTCTGAGTAGATCTCTTAGCTAGATTAAGGTTTTCATAGAGTTTCCTAAGTTAAGAGAATTGGATGCAAAAAGGGCTATCACTGATTTTCTTCACCATTGTTGAACTTAACAATTAGGTTGAATTGATCACTCAATCTACGATTTTAGGTTAATCTATTCATCAAAAGTGTAATAGGTTGCTAGAAAGAACTTTGGTGAGTGGTTTGTCTTTAGCCAACGACAGTTCATGCTAAGGCAATTCATGAACAATCAAACCTGCTTGTTAATGCTTGTCTGCGATATCTAGGTTCAAACGACAATTTAAAATTTCGGTTGTTAGACAAAGTTATCGATATCACGAGAGTGGGTCGATATGCATTCATGTTTGAGCTCGAGACTTGTGTTTAAATCATGTCATGAATAGTCATTCGATTTCTATCTCTGAAATTCCTGCGATTCACCTTAGTTTAGTGTTTGTTTTAATCGAATTTAAATCGTTGTTTGCTTTCTTTGCATGTTTCTTTATTTCCAAACAAATCATTTCTGTCTTAGCTTTATTCAGTCCTCACAAAATCATAGTGTAACACTGGTCTTCTGAAATTCAAATCTTTTATATTACAATTACAAGCTGTTCTATTGCAGTAGAAACTAGGAGATACTTCCAGTGAATCAAGATCTTATAAGATACCATAGTAAGGTCTTCAAGAACAGTAGAGGATGAAAGGGGTCTTTGCATAATAAAAATACCATCACCATCGTAATACATGTGTTTCTAGATGCATGTTTTTGAGACAAGGTAGAGAAACAACAAACTTGGGATCCTCAAGACCTACATTTAAAAGCTTTAAAGACATGTTTTCTAAATGCATGTTTTTGAGACAAGGGAGAGAAACAACAAACTAGGGATCCTGAAGACCTACGTTTAAAAGCTTTAAAGACATGTTTTCTAGATGCATATTTTTGAGACAAGGGAGAGAAACAACAAACTTAGGATCCTCAAGACCTACAGTTAATAGCTTTAAAGACACTAATATGTCGCTCACATACATATACTTAGCTAGGCATGTAATCTACATCACGATTCATTTCGTTTTCAACATCACGAACTCCGCGACAAATCACTTCGGCTATCCACTCCATGACTCTCTTGCTACACTCGATCGGAGGAAAATGCACCTCTCCTTTTTTGATACTTTATCCTGGACTTTTGCATGCATGATCCACGATTAATGTTTCCAAAATCAATAACATCAATAGTCTTGATTGAATCAT